TTCCACCGGTGAAGTCTCCGTCGAACAAGGTGCCCTGCAATCGAAGAGGTTGTGTTGGCTTGGTCTTGGTCCTGGGTTGGCTTCGAGTTGATGTGTTGTTTTTTGGACGTTGATTCGGATGTCGGGTTTGGTTTCGGGCTTGTTTTGAGCTTGTGCGGGCCGAATGTGCTGATTGTATGTTGGCTTCAGATGTGCGTTGAGGTGTGTCGAGAGGATGTTGCACAGGATTGGTGCGGGGCTGGTTGAGTTCCGCTTTTGGCCTGAGGCAGTCCAACGCTCTCATCATGTCAGCAGTTCATGAAGAGGGCTTGGTTGAGGTTGTAAAGGGAGGAGGGGGTGAGGGGAGCCTGGCAGGGGGGTTCAACTCCCGCGCCACATGCACGACCCGCTGCCGCTACATTTTTTTTGGACGCGTGCATTGACATCAGTTGGGACCTTCCGTTTTAGCGTTCCTGGTGCGCAATCCAGGGTTGATTTGGCCTATTCCTGCCCTTTCGGCTGATCAGCCGACCGGGTTGACCAGCGGCCAGGGTTGAACCCTGTGCCTAAGCCGCGACAGGCGAGTAGCCCGAAGGACGGCAAGACCAACGACCAGTTCTTCGAGGCGAGAACTCGCTCGCGTTGACGTCAAGCCCCGTGTCCGAAGACGGGGGGCTTGCGCAAGCGCTCGCCGCGCGGTTCGGTTTCCAACGCCTTGCTTGAGCGAAGCGACCCGGAAGCAACCAGGCGAAGCCGTTTGAAGAGAATGCCAAGGAGACCAAGGAGGCGGGATGCAGAGTTTCCGCGAATGGCTCTTGCCCAGAGAAGTTTAGGGTGCGAAGCTTCAAAGCAAGTTGCGGCCAGATGTGGCCGCTGATATTGGCAGCTTTAAGCCAACAGAGTTATGCAGGCCCACGGGCCGTGACGCCCAAGCGCCTTGCGAGGCCGCATCCAAAGACGCCGCACCCAAAGAGGGGAACAAGGAGGCAAAGGAGGGAAAGGAGGCGACGAAAGAGGCGAAAGAGCCGAAGGAGACGAAAGAGACCAAGGAGACCAAGGAGACCAAGGAGACGAAGGAGACGAAGGAGACGAAAGAGGCGAAAGAGCCGAAGGAGACGAAAGAGACCAAGGAGACCAAGGAGGCCAAGGAGACGAAGGAGACGAAGGAGACAAAGGAGACAAAGGAGACAGAAGATGGAGACACAATCGCACAGTGCTCATTCTTCCAGGGTCAAGGGTTGATTGGTCTGATGCAGGAGACAAAAGATGGCAATGCCAAGCCAAAGGAAGCTACTGAAGGGAAGGAGGCCGCCCAACGAGGGGACAGAGGGCTTGCCGCCCAACGAGAGCGCTTTCATTTTTTTCTTCTTTTTCTGCCATGGAATGACCCAATCAACCATCCCTTGTCGGTTTTTTCGAGGGCACCTCCAGGTTCATTCTCTCTGTTTTCCTTTTGTTGGTTTCTCCTCCAGTTAGCTGAAAACTTCATGGGGGGTCTTGCTTAAAGAGTGGCAGGCTGTTTTGCGAGTGGCCAGGTTAGTCTTGCAGGTGCTGGTCAGGGTGTTTGGGGTGCGATGCAGTCAGGTTGCTGTGCTGGTCAGTCTGGGATCCATGCTGGCGTGCATTTTTCGAGCTGCTTCGCAGGCGCTTTGCTTGTTTTGCATGTTGGTGACTGTGTTGTTTTTCTTCGCGCCTGATGCAGGTGCCAAAAGAAGAGGCCGGCGCTTCTTGCTTGGCGTGCCAGGTTCTGACTCCAGCGATCGAGACCGGACACAATTCAAACACTTGGAACTTGTTTCCACGAAACTGGCAGGCGCAAATGAAGGTAGGGGCCCACCACATGTGTGAAATCAAGCGCTGTCCATGTGAAATTTCCTATAAGCTTTCTGCAATTTACTATGCGACTGGAGGTTCGCATGTCCACGATAGGAGAAAGACGGGGCTCAGTCCCCAACTTCAGCACCGGCAGTGCCTATGACCGCGGAGGCGTGTTCCGACCGTTCTCCAGAACGAGGTGACGTTTTCAACAATCAAACATCGAACCAGGGCTCATCCCGGGATGATCTGGGAGTTTGCAGACGGAGTTTGCCAGGGATTCGGGGTACTCTCCACTGACACATGCCCTATTGCATGTCAGTGGGAAAAGGGAGACAGAAATGACTTGATTCTCTGATTTGGCGCGTTTCCCCATGGTTTTGGTGGTTGACTCGCTTCCTTGAGTTCCTGGACTTAATATTTACTTTGCCATTTTAGTGGTACACATAATTTTCGGCCTTTTTCCGACCAATCCACTCAGAATATGACTGCTGCTGCTACTGCTTGCGGCTGTTGCTGCTGCGCCCTGCGACCGACTGGCATTTGCACTCAAGGAGAAAGCGCCTTTCGGAGCCGAGAGTTCTGCTTACGCAGCTGGTGTGTCGGTTTCGGTTTCTCCTTGGTTTCCGCTTTTTTCCATGTCACATAGATATATAGTATGTTTATATATCGATAAATACACACATATATGTATATATACATATACATAGATATATATATATATATATATATATATATATGCCGCGTATTTGGCACGCGCCAGGTACTCGGTTTCGGTTTCGGCTTGGAATCGCAACCCGCCACTTCGGTCACCTTGGCCCACCTTCGCTTCCTTTTCACGAAAGCTAGCTTTAGCTAGCTGAAGTTTCTCCTTGCGTAAGCAAGGTAAGGGGCTCAAATGCCGAAAGATTGATTTTTTCAATTATTTGAGCCGAAAAGATTGAAAAACATCAATTATTTAGACCCCCCCCCCTCCCCCCCCCCCCCGGTCTCAGGCTCGATTCCTCCCTGGTCCATCCCCCCCCGGGCAGTGGCTCAGTGTTCAGCAGTCTCGGTTTGCCCGTTTTGGACTTGGTGCTACGAACTTTTACATGTTCCACCGATTCAGCTTGTTCATTTGAGACCTCAGTCTTCTCGGTAAACCACCTCGCAAGAATCTTGGCACACGCTGCATGCAGAACCCAGAGGTGCTTTAAGACAGCTTCTGACGCCTCTCATTGTTTTCATTTTTCAAGGTTTGCCACGCCACCATGTGCGTTTGCGTGTCGCATCCTACGAATCTTGCCGGGCCTCTCGTTGTACACAAGCTACCTATGAATCCACTCTGTCACCGACCCATCTCATGCAACAACTGCTAGCTTTCGTTCACCCGCTCCTCAAGTTCTTCCCTTCGGTTTCGCCCTTGCGCCCGTTTTCTCCTCCGAGTCCGAGTAGTCCGAGTCCGAGCGGAGGAGAAGAAGAAGGCGGAGGAGGCCTCCAAGCAGCTGATCCAGGCGAGTCCGGCCGCTCGCCACGAGCGAGTGGGGGTTTGGCGAGTTGGTGGCGGGTTTTTCATGGGGTTTTCGAAGGGAAACCTCAGAGGCAGCCAAACGAAAAGGCGATTGCGGGCATGACGTTTAACAGAGGACGCCTTGGGTGCCCGTTTTTCCTTTTTTTTTCTTCTTCTTTTTTTTTCTTCTTCTTTTTTCTTCCAAAAGATATCGATCTGGCATGGGTTGAAATGAAGCCAGCTTGAGTCCTTTCCGTTTACCCGGGCAGCCCATTTCGGGGTTACCCTATTTTCGGTGGAATCCTCATTCTGTCAAAGCACGATCTGGTTGTATGTTTTGACTGCGACATGGGCTGGAGATGTCAAGTAGCCACTGTACCTACTAAGTTGGAAAAGTTGGCAACAGTTCCTTAAGATGTCCAGATGCCGATGGGCCGTGCATGGGGCAGGACACCCTCAAGCTGCTGGAGAAGTGCAGCTGCCATCGGAATAAGAGCCTGGAGACCATTCACAAGGTCAAGCAGGAGCGTGTGCCGGAGTTCCAGCGAAAACACTTCTGGGGCTCAAACCAGACTTGCTGAAAGAGAGTTTTGGGAGTTTTGCGCAGTCCGGCACGCTGCCGGCCTTTTGCAGCATTCAGTGTTATTCTGAGGACACCAACAGGGCCAGCCACAGAGTAGAGGACTGCCTTTCCAGGTGGGGGGGGGAGGGGTTCCGGGGGGGGGTGGGGATTCTTGGGCGCTGTGTCGGGCGGACGCGAAAACATTTGGTAACTGCAGTTCGGAAATGCTGTTTGAAACAGAGGCCTCACCTCAAACATCTCAACGGTTGGGTCAAAGGGAAGCCAAGAGGGACATTTGGAGGGACACCCAAGTCACCCTAGGCTCTCCCTGACTCGAGGCGCACTGCCGAGTTGGCTGAGATGAAGAAGCAGCTGGAGAAACACGCCTTGGATGTGGAGGCGCCTGACCAACGGGGGATGCAGATCTCCCACCATTTGGTAGATGGATGGACCGATGCTGGGGAAGCGCGTCGTTCGGGCAGTTGTTGTCCTGGCCGCAAAATGCACGCAGGCCGCCATTTTGCGGGCAGAGCGCTCGTTGGAGAAGACGGAGCGCAGGCCAGATGGCAAATCCAAAGATCAAAGCCAGCATTGAGGAAGTGGGGATCCAAAATCCAAAACTGTGCAACCTTATGATGAGCGAGCAACATGTTTGAGCCATGTTCTGTTTATAGGGTTCACTAATAGAGGCAACAAAGACATGTTTTCCTTTCGCCGACCATGGCATGATATTTGTGTGGGCTGATCTTATTATGTTTTGGCAACTTTTCAATTGCTACACGATCACAATCATGTGCTGGCGTGTCAGACTCGACACGAAAGACGCGAAGAAAGTCGAGAAGTTCCAATCCGCCATGTGCTGAGATGTTTTTTGCTTTGGGCGGGGGGGGGGGGGGGCAGGGCGGACACAAATTGTGTGTCATCTTCAACAAACCAACGCCGACTTTTTTCATCCTTGCAATGTAATGACAGGTGGTAGGTTGCACTTGTTTATGGACATCCCAGGCAAATGGAACGGTTTGGGATGCATTCTGTGGGCGTTGGCTTCAGGGATTTTTGCCTCGAATCGCCGCGCCACCTGATCATCTTTCGCCATGGCTGCCCCTGACCTGTTGTGGCTTTGCGTGAAGCCGCGTGCTCAGATCATTCTTGACATGGCATTGACTCTTCCGCTTGGAAACCTGATTCGCCCAGGAACCAGTCGTGCTTCATCAAGAAGAACAAGAATTTCCCCGTCATGACCACGGAGCCAGGCATTTTGCTGTGCGGGTATTTCGAGATGATCTTTGTTTAAACCAAGACGCAACCAGTTTTGGTTTTTGTTGGACACCCAACAACGTCCACAAGCAGACGTCCAGAAACGGGTATCGATCACAACCAGTACAACATGAATCAACAGACTAAAAACATGTTAATCTATCGTGTCATCTAAACTTGCAAGATATCTATAGACAATATACACAAAAATAAAACATGATTATTGTTTCCAGTTGAATGGACGAATGCCAGAAGCTGTCCTTTGCCATATTGATGCTTTCGTGGATGGGCCAAAAGGCGAGACATGACCCTGTCGGCTCGCTTGCTTGTGTGCTTGACAAATTTGGCGTTTCACGATTTGCGACGTGACATGTTCTCGTCGTAGTTTGCTTGGTTTTTTCGCTTGACAAACCATCTGGTTGCCAGGCAACCTCACTGGCGTGAACTGCTTCAAGTCGTGGCCTTAGTCTTTTTTTGGATCCATGTGCGAAACATATCACACACCTCGCGCATGTGTTGTTCAGGTTTTTACTTTGCAAGGCCACTTGCCGGCCTCCCAAAAAGAAAAACATCCCGCGGGGTGTGTGGCATGTCTGTTCTTTCGTGTGCCTGCCAGGGTCCCGTTTTTCCCAAAGGGTCAGCGGGTCCCATAGTTGCTCCCCTGCCCGCTGGTGATAGGTACAGCGGCCTGGCTGCCAAGAAGGTGCTGAACCTGTCGTCCACGAAGAGCGGCAAGAAGGCAAGAAGTGGACTCGGGGTGAAAAGCCTGGCCCCCGTTAAAATGTTTTTGTTCACCCCTTTCTCCAGGTGAGCCACGTGCTCAAGACTTCAGGTCCATGAAGGTTAGTAAGGGACAATCCCCTTGCCATAAATAGCTGCGGATATCCGCCTTCTTACTTCTTGAAGCATGGTTCTGGGTAGACCATTTTAGTACCGGGTTTTGGTTTTGACTCAGGTGGTGATTCCCCATTCTGTTCAACCATTGTTCTTTTCAAGAACCAACTGTTTTCTCCGTTTTTTTTGGTTTCCCCTTTCCAGGGCATTGGGGAAGGAGTGCGGACACCCGCGCAGGAATCCATCGTCCTCACCACCAGGGCCAAAAGAGCGTCCAGGCGTGTTTCGGTTGGCGCAGGTTGGCCGACCAGAGACGCTGAGCGGTCGTCCAGTTTTGACCAGGCAATACCGCCCGGGAACAGTGCTGAGCAAGACTGGCATCAAGAAAGGCAAGGGGCGAGGGGAATTTGTTGGTTGCATCAGCTGGACAACTTATTGCTTGCATGTTCGACAGCGGCAGTGTTTGCGAGGATCGATTGTTGCTTGAACCACCCAAGCATGTCCCCCCCCCACCCCAACCCCACACCATCATTTCTCAAACATATGTCACCAAAACGGATGCCAAAGCCAAAACAAATTGCGGGTTTTGGGCTCCACGCGGCTCATCGACCGGCCGTCGCCGTTGCTTTCCGCGTGAGGCAAGAAGCAGGGCCCGGAGCAGCTCAAGAAGGCGACTGGGGAGGATCGATTCGGACCCGCCGGGACGTGTGGCGTCGGCGAAAAGGACGCCGCAGGTAGGAGTTTTGGGGGGCGAGGTAAACTGCCAAAAGCAAAAGCAGCTAGAACGCTCTCTGCATTTGGTTTTTAATTTTTGTATATTAAATACTTTTGTATTTGATGAAGGTATCATCAAAGAGCATATTGCGCCGAGAAAGGTGAAGGGTTGTAAGGGAGGGTCCCAAGCGGAACTCGGCGAGGCCTACTCTGTGGTTCTTTACGTTCATTTTTAATGCCGCTCGGTTTCCAGTGTGTGGCAACGTTTTTTTTTCTTTTTCTTTTTTTCTCCGGGGACCCTTTTGGTTTTCCTTCAAACATCATGAATAAGGTACCGTACCCCAAAAAAGCCGGGGCACCCATACTGTGGATGGACGAAACTCTGCACCACGAAATGAAGCCCTGGTTGAAACCATAGCGTTTGTTGGTATTTACTTTGGGGAATCCTCAGAAACGGATTGGGTTTGAATGAATGGTGGTGCGAAATGGATTTCGCAACCATCCACAGTATGTTCCCTAAATTCTAGTTTTCCTTTTGGTTTTCCTTTAAACACCGCCAAGAAAGGGGTATACCCCCCCAAAAAAAACCTAAATTCTTATGGCTTTCCTTTTGGTTTTCCTTCAAGCACCGCCACACAAAGTTGGCGCCAAAAAAAACAAAAACGGGGACCCCACATGGCAATGTCCATCTAAAACGGGGCCCGGGGACCCCACGTGACGATGTCCATCTACCGCCGGGAGAAAGCAAAACGCCGCCGCAGATCATCGCGAAGAGCTGGAACCGCCCGGAGCTCCTGGACCTGGCCCTGAAGAAGCCGGGGCCCAAGCCGGGCGAAGCCGGCGAAGGGAGGCGCCGGATCGAAAGGAGGCGAGGGAGGCCAGGGAAAATGGTGGACTTCCGAAGAGGTCCCTTTAAACAAAAAGGTGGGATTTTTGTAAAACCGTCACTTTCAGGGGGTCGGAGTTTTTTTTTTTTTTTGGGCATTTTCAGTAAACGGGCTGGCTTCTTAGCTCTTGAAGCATGGTTCTGGGTGGACCACCCCACCAGGTTTTGAATGTGACTCGAGTATCTTGGGCGAAGACTATGTTGTTTTTCCCTATGAAATGTAGGATTTGTAAAGCCATAACTTTCCAGGGGTTGTTGGGCTTGACATTTTCAATCCACTTGCTTGTGAAGGGCCCTGATAATTCCTTGGTTTCATTGGTTTGGGTTCTCATATTTAGTCAAGGCTCCAAAAAGTTAATCTTTTATTTCTGGGTCCTTTGGCAAGTAAGAAATTCTCTTTTCAGGCTCAACGTAACGTGGATTGCTGTAGTCACATAGAATTAGACAATCCCGTCGCAATTGAAAGTTTGCTTCCTGGCTGAGATTGGTTCCTACTAGACCACAATTGAGACTCAGGCTAATAGGTGGCCTGGCCTTTCTAGGTTATATAAACATAGATGGGTTCCACTGGTTTAGATGGGCGTTCCATTTACCAGCGAAACCCATCGATTTTTCCAAAGGACGCCATCGCGTTTTGGCATTTGTCAAGAAGGCCAACCGGCTCTTCGGTGTTTTTCGACGGCGCTTTGCGCGCTCAAACCGCCTTGTTGCTGACCGGCTTGACACTTTTAGCTGCAACTGTTTTGATCAGTCCCAACCTTGCTCTTGGAACATAGGGTGAATTGTCAACCAAAGTCTCAGCCAGGTTGGATGCTTTCCGTTTGCTGCTTGCTATAGACGCCGGTGCTGGATGGTTCTGCAAGTGTTCAATTTGATATATCCACCTTGAAGGCTGCGGCAACCATGTGGAAACAAAGACAAATAAATGCACATCTCTTTGCATGCATCACAGTTGTCTATTTTCCTTGCAAAGCCTGGAGCTCGATCTGTGGGTGGCCATGGTCACAGCACAGGTTTTGGGATGAGCGCTGAACATGATAAGTGTGAGAATCGGAGAGAGAGCTCTGGGCAGAGCTTCAGGTACAAGAAGATCAAGACGTCCTTCAAGAAGTCCAAACCCCGTGCGTCAGAGCCTCACACTTCTCAAACTTTTCCCTGCGAGAGAGTGGTGGGTTATAAATCCGAAAGGGGGAGAAAGGTTGAGAAGGGCACTGTGTGGATGACAAGTCATTGAGCAGCAGAGTAGCACGTTTCGACCTGTGACGGGATTGGCTCCCATGACTGCACGGCGGCCGATTGGAGGCTTGGCCTCCCGACGTAGCCTTTTGCCTCAGGAGCAAGAAGGATCAGAAGGATGCTGCATGAGCGGAGCGGATTGCTTGCAGCGGCTTTTGGGGCAGAGAGGAAAATAGCCCGCGGCTGCCAGAGCGAGTTGGCTTTAGCTTTCAAACCTGGCCCGGTCGGAGCTCGGGGGTGTCTTCTTTTGAGGCAGCATTCTTGTTTTTGGTTCAAAGGGGCAAAGGACATCCATCACTCATTTTTATTTGTTTTCCCGGGCGTTTGGCGTCCTGCAATGCTCTCCGTGGCCGAGGACATCGAAATTTTGAGGAAACTCCGCGAAGCGCGGGAACAACTCGGCAAGGACATCCGCAACAAGCCCAGGCCCTAGCTCGGTGGATTTTTTGTTGGGGGTCCCCGAAAAGTTGACACACCCATATGTATGTCGGTCATTCGGTACCTCTGTTGAAACCTCGTTTGGCTGTGAGAGCCCACCGAGCTGACTGCGAGCGAGACTTTGGGAGCTCGAGACGTGAGACAAAACCAACCCGAACATGTGCTTGCAAAAAGCACGTTGCAGAAGAGAAACCTCGAGCGGATCATTTTGAAAGCAAGCCTTCATAGAAGCCCGAACATGCTTCCATCCTTGTTTGTTTTGAACACTATGCAAAATGCAACTGTAGACAAGGCAAGCCTGGGCTGATCATTTGGATGGATGATGCCTAACCGGAGGCATGGGACGTCATTATTCCTGCACGCACATGAACTTCCTTGGCCTTGTCCGCGACGCTTCCCAATGCCGGCCTGCTTCCAGTGCCCGCATTCGCAAATGCATGTCGCATTTGACAGCCGGCGGCTGTCAGTTGTGAACGCAAAGCAACCCAAATGGAATCGACCTGTGTGGGCCATCAGGCCTCGCGAAGTTCATGTCGTTCGTCGAAACAATGAACACCACTCCGACGAGTGCCTCTGACAATGACGCTGACCTGTGCCTTGTCACCGTTGCCTGGGGCTGTGCGCTTCATGCGGCGTCGACGTATGTATCTCGTCCACCGCCAGTTTGTTGTTGGCACACGAAGGTTTCTTTTGCTTGCGCGGACGCTAGCTTCAGGTGTTAGATTTGTTTGTTTGCTTCAATGCCCTTGATCGTGCTCTTCCTCATGTCGCACACTGTTCGATCGTTTGGCATGTCTCGCTGTTGGCCAAAGACCCCGCTCCCCGACGAGCGCTCTTGTTCCGGCGGGTGCGAGCGGCTTTGGACGTGGCGCCGCGTCAATCGACGCGGCTATTGTGTCGCGTTCGATGGTGCGGAATTCAACACAACAAACGCCGCAGCTGGCCACGGCTAAGCGAGCATGTCCCGAGGACGCCGCCCTTTTCAAAACAGCGTGCTGTGTGCAAAACGCAACACAGCAAACAGCGGCGCAGACAAAATCATTTTTGACATTAGGTGCCAAACTGCGAAGGAACCCCCCTTCGCGCTCGTTTGTGGCGAAACGCTTTCTGTTGTTTCAATGTGATCATGGCACGTCATTCTAAAGCGACGCCGGCCTTGTGTCGCGCATGGAAGGGAGGGCGCCTCGAAGGTCCTGGCAAAAACAACATCTAGGACCAAACCATTTCTCGAGCCGACACGGCCGGCGAGTCGCGCGACGGAGGCCAACGGAGCCTCGAGGCCCGCGCCGCGACAAGGCGACCCGTGGCCCTCCTTGAAGTCCGGCGCCGGACGGGGCAACCTGCCGCGAACTTCCTGCCAACGCCCGCTGGCCCCGGCTGGAGTGGAGGTCGTGGAGGCTCCGCCTCGCGCGTGGCAAAGCATGATCCGCGCCTGAAACCCTCCAGGCTTGGAGGCTCATCAGCCGTTCCAGTTCGTTTTTTTTTTTCTTTCTCCTGTGCGACGGCTCTAATGCCACCATGGTGTCCGTTGATTGACCATCAGCTGTTCTATGGCTTTAGCAGCATTCTTTTTTTCAGTCGGTCAGCACACGGCCCTGGCCAAGCTGTTTCCATGATTGCACTTGTTGCGGCATGTATGGTGTTCTTGCGGACGCGTGCTCTGTGCGTGGCAGAGCTGTCTCGGCGGGTGGGAATGTGGCGCTGTGGGTGGCGACGGCCTGCCGGCCGTCAATAAAGACCTCGACGTTCACTGGCAGGCGCACATTGGTGCCCCTACTGGCAAACATTCTAGGCTACCTGGGCGAACGCCACGCGGTCGCGCTCGCCTTCGTTGGGGTTGTGGCAGAGCTACGGCTGTCTCAGGGCTTGGTGGAACTCGATGCTTGAAGGGCCCACTGGCTGGCTGTTCACACCAGGGCCAGCCCGCTCAGACCAGCCCCGGTCACATGCAGTCATTTTCCGGAACGCAGCTTGGTGTACTCTTAAAGTTGGGCTGCAGACACACAGCACTCGTCACAGGTATGCGTGAGTCGCATGTCGTATTAGCGCTGCGCACAAGGTGTGCCGCAAAAACAAACCTTGTCGATTTCATCCACACGTGTGCGTGGAACAAGGGCCGCCCTTTGGCGCGTTCCCCCTCGTAGTGCCGAGGTGCCGAATGCTTTGTCTCCCTGCAATGTGCTGCGACAACGTATTTTTTTTTTGCTCGATCTCGCTCCTCATGTCATGCATCCTTCGTTGCGTTGCGAAGGCCTCGGCCTCCAGCCCGCACACCTACCGCTATGTAGCGCCAGTTGGAAATGCCAGCTCTGGGTCGTGCCCACGCCTCCCTGCCCACGCGCCTGATTGAGATTGCGCCCCTGCAGAAGACCCCGCTGACCCATAGCTGGATGTTTGTAACTTGTTGTTGGCTGGAGTTCGCCTCCTGCACACGGAAGAGGAGTGGCAGCAAGACCATCGGGGTGAGTGGATTTTAGCATTGTGTTGGGGAATTGCAGCGGCTCTGTGCCCTCCCCCATGCCTTGTCCGGTCACAGTGTCACTGTCGGCTTGCGGCCGCCTCTCCCGTCCGCGGCCTCTGCACGCGGCGCGGCTCTTTTGTGTGGTTGTTACATTTCTCGGCCCCTGAGCACCTTCTCATCCCTGGAAAGGTGCGCTGCTCAAGATCCCCCCGAAAACCCTGCTTAAAGGGAGCCGCCGGGCACGGGAGGCGCACAAGCCATTTGTACCCCGGGGGCCACCGGCTGTGCGAAGTGCAGCTAGCCGGGCAGCCGGCTAGCGGTGAGGGGCGCCTCACCTGCATCTGCAAGAAGCTCACCCAGGGGCGGGAGCGCACCGTCGCTGAGTGTTCCCGCCCGCTGGGTGAAGGTGGCAGCAAAAACCGACATGGCTGCGTGGGACAGGAGTGCGTGCCAGCGGGCAACAAGCACAGCGACCAGGCTGGACCGGAGACGAACCGGCACCTCTCGCGCCTTGGCTCGCGCGAGGGCACGCACAAAGGAGGCTGCCTCGTCACTCCACCGGCCCCCGACCTCCGGCGGCGTGCAAGGCAAGGGCGGCGCCTTGAACACGACCACCCCAGCGGCAGGGCTGCCCCGAGCCGGACAAGGGAGATACCAACGTGGTGTCCACGACGAGCTGCTGCCCGCCCTACAACGGCAAGCCGTTGGCAACGATCGCAAGCCGCCGGTCGTCGACACGATCGACCTGGAGATTCATGTTTGCCAGCGAATGTTGCATTGCTCACCCCGGCGCCTCAGCAGACCCCATAATTGCCGCCGTGCTTCCCAATGCCATTTTGGCTCAAGCCATTTTGGCTCAAGGCTCAAGGTTTGTGTTGGCTGGCTGCCTGCCCCTCCCTTTTGGGTCTCCTTGTTTGTTGTTCTTTTTGGGTATTTGGGCTGCCCCCCCCTGGTTGTTGTTTCTGTTTTGGGCTGCGCGGCGGGCGCCACGGATTGCACTGCTGGGGGACGGTCCCAGGATAAACAAGCCGTCGTGCACCGCTGGGGGGGCGGGCCCCGTATAAACAAACCGCTGCTGGGGTGGTGAGCCCAGGATAAACAAACCCACCCGGCCTTCCTCCCTGGCCAGGAGGGGGTCGAAAAGAAAAGGAGGAAAAAAAAAAAGGCCCGGGGGGACCGTCCCCGTGACCATCGGTCAACTGCCTGGGGGGACCGGCCCCGTGATCAACGGTCAGCCGCCTTGGGGGGGCGGCCCCGTGATCAACGGTCAACAGCCTGGGGGACCCGACGTGGACCGCAGGACCGTTCCAGTGTAAACCAGGCCACCTCGCTGACCGACGAGGCGGCGCGCGATACGCTGTTTTCAGACCTTGACCTTGCGTCGCGCGCGCTGCTGTTGTCGCAGGCGGGGCCACAGGCGGGGAGAGCCCCGCATGTTCTGCCAACCGCCGCGGAGCTTCGGCTGCCGAGCGACCTGTTCCGCATTGTCCTGCTTCGCCGCCTCCGCATGCCACTGCCCGCAGCTGCCCGCGCCTGCCGCTGCGGGCGCCCCGCAGATGCTTTGGGGGACCATGTTACTGCTTGCCCGACGTCTGGTGTGCTGCGGACAAGGGCTGTCCCCCTGGAGCGGGCGGTCGCGCGCGTCTGCCGCGCAGCGGGGGGGCGGGTGGCCATGCACGTCCGCGTGGCTGAGATGAACGTTGATGTCCCGGTGTCCGATGCCCGGTGCATCGAGATCCTGGCGTCGGCATTGCCGGTGTGGCATGGCGCCCAGGTGGCCATCGACACCACGCTCGTGAGCCCGATCGGGAGGGACGGCCAGCCCAGGGGCCGCAGCGCCAGAGAAGCCGGGGGGGTGCTGGAGCAGGCGGCCCGGCGTAAGCGGGAGACAACTTACCCGGAGCTGCTTGCTGCGCGGCGGTGCCGCCTCGTTGTCTTCGGCGTCGAGGTTGGTGGCAGGTGGAACGGCGAGGCGAGGGAGTTGCTGCGCGCCCTAGCCCGTGCCAAGGCGAGGGAGCGGCCTCAGTGGCTGCGGGCCTCGGCTGTGCAGGCCTTCCACCAGCGCTGGTCCGGCATTATTGCCGTTGCGGCGCAGAGGGCGCTGGCTGCCACTCTGGCTGGCCTGCCAGGAGCGGGCCTGGACGCCTTGGATGGCACCGCGCCGCCCTGGCCCGAGGTGCTGGCGGCCGCACGCCTCGGCGAGGCTGAGGAAGCCAGCCGGCTGCCGCTGCGGGCCGGCTGATGGGCCCCGGGCCGTGGCGGCACGACGGCGGGGAAGGCTCCTCCGCCCTTGTCGCCGAAAGCGCTCCACCCTGCTTGCACGAAAAACAACATGTCTCACCCTCGCTGCACGGAAAAAGGAGCGACAAAAAAAAAACCAAAAAATACAGCGGTCAACCGTGCCATGTCCGCGCCTGCTGCATCAGGGCCCGAGTTTGTGCCCTCCTCGCCGGAATTGCGTTCTGAGACCCCACGTGTTGGCACGCACGAGGCGGTCACCGTGGCTACGCCTCCCTTCCCG